GATGACATGGGCAAGACATGGCACCTGCAGGACCGGGGGCTGCCCAGGGGGATGGAGGGAGCCAGGCACCCCCAGCCAGGCTCTGGCATCAGCTACCTGCTAAGCCATCCTGAAACCACCAGTGAATACTAACAACCGGGTGGAACGCCGGACCCACATAGCTGGCGCATCCCTTCCGAAGCTCCAGGTAGAAGCAGGGATGGAGATAAGCTCCTGCTCTCCCAGAATTTAATTTTCATTTCAACAAAAGCCATTTGTAGCACTGAAACCCGTGAGTTCTCATCAAGGACTTTCCTCGGCAGTGAGGACTGCCAAAGTAGTAGGAACCAAATTGTTGTCAGCTTAAGGACAGCCATCTGCTCAGCCTCTTCCCAGCTGCCATGCTTGAAATCAAAGAATGGATAACAATCACTTATGTTTCTCACCAAGCTCAATATGAAAAAATCTAGGAAGGAAAAAAAAAAACCCAACCAAAAAGCAAAAACCAAACAAACCAGGAAAGCAGCACTGCAGGGATCTAACTGGGAACAGAGATGAAAGTAGGAGAAAAAGAAACTAGTTTTTGTTTTTTGTTTTTTTTTTTTTTTTTAAAAACAATGTTTTTTAAAGAGTCCTATTGACATCTGCTTTGTAAATGCTCTGTCATTATTTATAACCTCAAGAGCACGGAATTGTCTCTGTAGTTACAACCATGCTACTCCCATATTTTGGCTTTGTTAGCAAAGAGCCAGCAGCGTTTTTACTGGTGCTCTGGGAATAGAGATCTAACATTTCATACACAGTTTATTTAAAAGTGGACTAATTTAACATTCTTGATGGTTCCTTTTAGCACAACTGTTGCTAATTACCAGCTCCAGAATGATTTGTTAATCTGGGAGCAACAGCAGTTCCACAGCAGCATAAATACACCAAGAAAAAATAGGAAGGAGGGGAAAAAGATAAATAAAAGAGAGACATCGGAGAGGGTCAAGTTTTAGTGAACTAAAGCAAATAAAGTGACAGGTGGAGTCAGTGACACAAACTACTACTAACACCATAAAACAGAGCTGTAAAGGGGATAATCCTGGTCCTTGAGAAGTAGAAAAAAATAGCGACAATTTTTAAAGCTGTGCAAACGTTGGTTTTGGTGACATGGACAGGAAGCTGGCTTGAAAGATGATCTGTGCTCCTCAGGACTGGGACAGGCATCAGCCTCCCATTAACCCCATCTGTCCAGGACAGAGTGACCCACGGCAGAGCACGGCTGGACAGACAGCGAGCAGAGAGGGCAGCCAGGCAGGCGCTTCATCCCAGGACACAACCTCGGCTTAATTGGTTCCAGGGCACTGTGTGTGGAGGGACACAAACAAAAACTGAGCAAACATGATCATAAAACATGACAAGCGGTAGGAGAAGTGACGCTGGAGTCCCCAAAGGAGGAGTCCTTGAAATACTGGAGTCGTGTTTGGAAGTGAGAGGATCCAACCGATAGCTTTGCACTATTGCACACAATTTTTCTTGCGGTTTTTCAGCAAGCAACAAGGAGGCACTGAAGCAGATTTGCTGCTTGTGACCTCCCATGTCCTATCCCTGTGGCTCCACGCTCTGGGCACAGCCGCGGCCATCACCCTCCCCTGGCTCTGCAGGACCAGCTCTGACCTGTCTCAAAAACACCTTTTTCACAGCAAAAGAATTGAAAGCAAATTTTCCTAAAAGAAAAAAAATCTTTTAGGAAAGGAAGCGTGTTATCTTGGACATTTATAAATCATCAAAGCCATCTCATTGTTGGTACCAAGATAAGCAGGACTCAAACAGCCATGGAAGGGGACTGAGCCTCCCTCCAACCACGGCTTCCACACTTGGATCACTTTGGTCTTTCACTGCATGTGTGAAAGGACTTGAAAGTTCATAAAATTAATTCCAGACAAATATTAGTGAGGCCTCAAGTGGAAAGCACATCTCCTTCCTTCTGGGAATTTATAGTTCATCCACTTTTATCTTCTGGAGGCTCTCTGGAGATCAAAGATTTGATCAACTTTCTTTTTGCAAAACTCATGAAGAAAAACGGTGTTATCAGTACCATGACATGATTTTTTTCCTTTTAATTGCCCTCCTCTAAAAGTAAGATTCCTTCATGTAGGTCTAAAACAAACAGCACAAGTTACACAAGAAAGCTGTTCTATTTATTTATTAATTTTATGGCTGTTACAAGGTCAATCCCTATCCTGACAGCTCACGCTTGTTACATACTTCTCTACCTAATGAAACCGAGATGACCAAACATGAAGTAACTGCTTGCCAACATAACCTGCCTTGCTAATGCCACTAGGAAAATGACCTGTTGCTCTGGCAATTTTCCCCATCTCCATCATGCTATGGGGCCAAATCCTCTAATTTACAAAAAGACATAGATAATAGATGAAAATGTGCTACGTTGCTGGAGTGACTCAACTCCGATGCATTTGGGGAACATTAGGGAAATCTGGGAAAGGAGTGCAAGTTATAAAAGTACGACAAGTTTTCACCTGGACACAAGGATGATGACAAAAGCCCTTGTTAGTCCAGTGACCTTCAGCACCTCTTCCTCACTGTGCAACAATTCTCTGCACATCTGGAAATTTGAAAGGCAGGACCTAAGCAGCCTCACGGACTAGGCTAACTCCTCTGAACATCTGCCTGCAGCACTCCCATTTACACTGCTCCCATACAGTGGAAACTTGCTACTTATACAAGCGACTTGCTAAGACACTGGAATAGATTTCAAGGAGTCGGTACAAAAGGACTTGGATCCTGCCTGAGCCATCTGAGCGTCAGAGTGACACCGGCTCTAAAGATGATGGACCACATTTAGCTGGAATCACTCAGGGAGTCTGTACCAAATGCATCATACTTGTCAGCGTTTCGGGGAGGAGGAATCCGGGCAGTTTCACGAAGCTTTTTCTTGGAGCAGAGCCACAGGGAAACGCTTTTCCACTGTGAAACTGCAAAGGCTGCAGGGGAGATGGGAAACTCATGGAGCCAGGGAGCCGGAGAGGAAGACTAATGATAGCCGAGAAGTTTATAACTCAGTCAGGACTTGGGCTTCGCAGGTGTCAAGCCATGTACAGACCACTACCCCATGATTTCTTTCCCTACTTTCCCTGGCATCCAGTCCCCTTCTCCTCTCCATATGAAAAGGAACCTGTGCTTTCCTGCAGCAGGAAAGTGCAGGAGCTCTTCCAGGAGCTCAACACAGGCCGCTGTCCTCATGTCTCAGTGTAGATGGACAATCATGAAAAGACAGCACTTGAAATCAAATTCCTCATGCTAAAATCAGTCAGGATTCAAGCTGGGGGAAGGGACTAAAGGTGATGTGAGTTTTAATTATTTTGATATTTTTTACTTAAGTTCACAATAAGAGTTGAGAGTGGATTTGGTGCAATAAAGATGTCACAATACTTACCCTAAGTTGTGTTCTACCTAAGGATTTTGGCTCTGTTCTTAGAGGAACAAAAAAGGTGACATTACGTGATCTCAAGCATGAAATGTAGTTTTGTCAGGGTTCATTTTGCATTTTAAAGCACCCTTCAGATGTCCAGGGGCTTTATAGGACTCCTGCCACGTGAAGAGCCAGCTGTTCAGCACACAGAGCACAGCTCCCAGAGAGCCCCTGGGAATCACCACCATCTCTGAGGGGTCGCACGCCATCAGCCACTCAAGGGACGTGCTCCTTGTCATCCGCCTCCCCATCCCTTCCATACCGTGCTCTTGGCTGCCGTGACCCCATTTCGTGTGAGCACCTTCAAATCTGAGCTTCCCACTGATGTATCTCATGCATCGGGGAAGGCTGCCAGGCTGTCCTTTCCCAGTCTTTCGGGAAGAGGCGTTCTCTAATTCTGGCTGTATCTCCCAGATCTTACCCACAAGCAGCCCACTGGGGTCCCTCACCCTGCAAAGCCATAACCAGCTCCTGCTCCCGCTGCCACGTCCTGCGCCAGCTCAGCACCTTCACAGCCATCAGGAGCGGCTTTCATCTTCCAGAACTTCCCAGATTAAAGATTAAAAAGCTTTAAGAAAAAACCCTATCAGACAGTAGCAAGTTGTAATATTCAGTATTTGCATAAGGTGCACGTACAACAGATCATGGTATGGCCCATCCCATCATGGAGAGGGTGGTGGGACCATCCACGGTGGGGAGGCACATTGTCAAACACCACGTCCAAAATCAACCAGGTCTGAAACAAAGAGAGCAGATACAAGAAAAGGGCTTTGGTGTCTGAGTGTAGCAGAGCAGGACACATGGAGGACGATGCTCTCGCCAAGGGATGGTGACGGCAAAGGGAAAGGGCAGCTGCCGCCCTGCGGACCATGAGGACAGACAGCACCATCACACCAGGGAGGTCTCAGGCTACCACCCAGCACCAGGGCCACCAAAGAAGCCCAGTGCCTCTGGGGTTTTTATCACACATACTTGCTTTATATTTATCAAATCACAGATATATAATTGTGATTTTTTTTTTTCGTAACTCTACTCTCACTTAGTACAAGTTCTGTACAACTCTGACTTCCCTTCACATGGGCTTTGAAGCCACTTGAGACTCCACTGCACTGCAAAACCCCGTTAGAGCAGTTACCATTTCGTGATGCGGATGTTCAAGCTATTCGTTAGGCTACAAATAGCTACTTGATTTTAAGCAGACAGGTGTACAGAACAACAAATATAAGTACAAATTATAGCCTTAAATGAGCACAGAGCCTCACTAGTAAAGAAGAGTAGTCAAGGACAAAAGTACTAAGCAGCATTAATTTGCACAAAATCACTAGACTTACAGTTGCAGAAATCAGAACTACTGGAATTCCTCATCTGGAAGGCAATCAAAATCAGATAGAAACTATTAAAAGTCACAGATGCCAATTTTTCTTTTTCCTCGCATACAGAATTCTGTACCATGATCATAACCATGATCTAAAAAAAAAGTCAGTCTTCTGCTTGTCTGTGCGAAGACGAGAAGCGCATCAGCGAGGAACAAAGCGGGACTCACCGTCTGGCCCTTCGCTGCCTTTACTCCTTTTATTTCGACGGACGCGTCTACCTTCTTCTCCAACATGCAGCTTTTCTTCAGGGTGAAAGAAGTTTGGCAAGGCCAGCTGGAAGAAGAAGGACAAGTTTAAGCATCTTTGGCAAGGATGGCTTAGCTGAGCAGAGAGATCAGAGCCTGAACGCCAAATCCTTTCCATCAGGGATAGCTCTGCCGAGCCGAGGGGCAGAGCCAAGGGAGAAGTGAGATGGCTGCTCACGGATGCTCAGCTCATCCCAAGGGAAACTGCAAGGAGCTCTGTCCCCTTGGAAGCAGCCCAAGACTTGGGAAAACTCAACCTGAAGGGTTTTGCCAGGGAGGAGCATCCCCCTGGGGTAGGAGGGGCTGCAGGGACAGGGACGCAGGCAGCGTCAGCGGAGATCTATAGCTGGAAATAATCAAATGCCCCAAATGCCGATGTGATCATTTCTAATTATGCTCTGCAAAACTTGCACAATCCTGGAGCTCTCTCACCAGTATTACTCACTGCCAGTAAGTTTTTCCTCTCTCGGGCTCTCTTCTGCAAGCCTCATTAGCTACTGAGATTCAAAGGTCTTCAGGGACCTTTAAATCCAATTCAGTATACCACATAAATTAACACTTTAAACCTAGAGCAAGTACATCTTTATAACATGATTTTTGCCAAGAGGCAAAAATTTTATGCAGCGACCTCTTATTCATGAAAAAATAGTTACTACATGAAAAACTCTCTGACAGTTATTAAATCAACATCCCTACCCAGAAACTGGAATTTCGGTTTAGAAACTTGACCAGTCCTCTCAGCTAGCCCAGGGCGTGGCAGCTCATCACCAGCAGCATTTCCCCCAGGTATTTCCACTTCCTAAAATGAGGAATTTGATGAAAGATGAATTAAGAGCCAAACATCTTGTTCTGTGTGTTACCGCACCCGCTTCCAACCGGGGCTGCTCTGACTGGGCTAGGGTTTTCTTTACACTGAAGAAACCCAATCAGAATTATTTAAGCCATAAATACACACACAAGCCAAATACAGCCTAAGACAAGAATGGCGAGGCTTCAAAAAAGCTGCACCAAAGGTTATCAAGTGCGTTATTGTTCTGAGAACAAAACCCGCGGCATCAAAAGCATCTTCAAAATAGCAGAGAATAAACTCCTTCCATGAATTACTAATTAAGAGCGGCTCGTTAAGCTACAGGCCATAAAAGTCCTTATCAAAAGTAATGACCATTCAAGGTCTCTTTGCCTTTGACATGCCCCAGGGCTCTCACCTCCTCTCTCCCACCCCTCGGAGGGCAGCAGGGTGCACCCCTCTTCTCCGACACAAACGCCTAATTCCCAAGTTATTTTCCCCAGCCATATGCTTCTTCCAGCCTAGGAGTATCTCATTCCTGCTTCCTAATGAGCAGCCACTGGATTTTACATTTGCATCTTGCTTTACTCCAACAAGCCCCAATGCAGTCTCATGAACAGGATTTGGGAAACCAAAGGGTTCCCCACCCAAAAACCCAATCCCTAAGTATTTTCCAAATTCCTAAACTGTTGCTATTTATTTTTGCCTGCGTGCAGGCCAGTCTGCATTTACCACAATTCCTGATATTTTGTCATTGTAATGATGTTGTGTCCGAAAGTACCCTGAAACACTGCATAATAGCTGGTGACCAGCTCCCCACAGCCTCACCATAAGCACAGTTACACTTTTAAGTGTGCCTAAAAAGCAATGACAAGTACCCATAGAAGGACCAGTCATGATTTGATGGAGTACTGAAGGCTCTCATTTACAACAAGCTTTAGTAAAAGGAGAGAACAAGGGGCACAGCTCCCCTGTGCTCATCCTCCCCAACCTCCTGCATCCCTCCATGCTGACCCAAACATGGAGCACGGCAGCAGGATGCTCCTGTGGCAACGCCGGTACCTTCCCCTATACAACAAAGCAGGGCAAGGGATGAGCAAAAAGTAAAGGGTGGATTTTTTTTTAAACCACTTCTTTAAATCAAGTTGAAACATTGAAGAAACAAATTGCATTATAGTTCAGGTTAAAACTTCAGTGAAATCATCAGTGCTGCTTTTGAATGGTGTTATTACTTGGCTTTCCTATTTGACCTTTGGAAAACACAACTAAACTAAAGCACTGAAAATGAAGTGGTGGGGGACCAGCCCGTTAAGATGTGCAGTTTCCCACCCCAAATAACCCTGCTGACTTTGTCAAAGTGACACCCAGCGCTAAGGCTAAAAATGACATTTTACATCACGTGAAGATTTTTGTAATGGCACCACCCTAATTGTGTCAAAACAAACTTTCCCTGCTATTACAAATTTTAACACAACATTAACCACAATTTTGAAACGATGCAGCATAATATTCAGCTCACTTTATGCCACCTCCTTCTCCACATCTGGGCATTGTCACAAAGGTTATTGATTAATACACTGATTTCTTTTCCTGCCAGGTATAGATGGATCCTTGTATGCCAACCTCCCACCCACGCTGTAAAGAAACAGAACCACTAGTGGGCTTCAAATAATTCAGAGAAGAGTTTCACCTGGAAAAGCATAAGGATTTAGAACGGATGAAACACCCTGATTTCTCATTTTGATTGATGGGTTTTGTCATTTTCAGTGAAACTATCAAAATTTCTTAAGAGACTTGAAAGCTTTTCAGAATCTGAACAAAACCATTTAAGTTTAGTCTCACAAGGTGAAATTCAAGAGACTGACACAGTATGTTTATTTTCCCAGACAGTTAATGTAAATAATCCTTCTATTCACAAAACTCAAGTAATGGGGCTCTAAGCATGCTTTGGTCAGCATTAATAAATAGTAACATGAAACCTCAGATTAAAAAGACAAAAAAAAAAAAAGGCGAATAGGACACAAACTCAAATTATGGCTACCAAAGCACATCACCCAGCCACTGCACCCAGCTGGACCTTCCTCCTCCTCCTCCTCCTCCTCCCATGGACACAGTGGGAGCCATCAGCACAGTCCCAGCCCTCCACTGCCACTTCCACAAAACCGATGCTGGAAAGCATTGAAATCAGGACCAACCCCCTGCCCTGTGCCCTTCATTGAGTTCGTCCTGAGTCCCCCAAGCAGCAGCTCAGCTCTGCCGTGTCCCTCCGGAGCCAGGGGACCTTTCCAGAAGCCACCTCTGCAGCGCTGCCACCGGGCAGGTCCCGCGGCATGGCACGGCATCCTGCCACTGGAATTGTCACAGGCACTGATGGCTTGTGCCACCCACGTCACCTGCAGCATCTTCTGAACCCTCTCTCATCCTCGGAAGAGGCTCTTCAGATCACAAACGTGGTGTACAAAGCTTTTATTTCTTCAGTTGTGAGACCATACGCTCAACATCGTTGGGCATTTTTTTTTTTTTTTTTTTAATAAAGACAATTGCTCAAACCTGCATAGGATCACAGAATGGTTTGGGTTGTGGAAGGGTCCTTAAAGCCCATCTAGTCCCAGCCCCCTGCCCCGGGCAGGGCCCCCTTCCCCCAGCCCAGGGGGCTCCCAGCCCCGTCCAACCTGGCCTGGAACCCTTCCAGGGAGGGGGCAGCCACAGCTGCTCTGGGCACCCTGGGCCAGCGCCTCACCCCCCGCACAGGGGGAGAATTTATTCCTTGTATCTAATCTAAATCTACTCTCTTTCTGTTTAAAACCCTTACCCCTTGTCCTTTCACCACAAGCCTTGGCTCCTCATCTTTCTTATAAGCCCCTTTATATACTGAATGGCCACTATAAGGTCTCCCTGGAGCCTCCTCTTCTCCAGCCTGAACAATCCCAACTCTGCTACTCTGTTCTCACACAGGTTTTATTCTTGTACTACATTTACTACTAATCAGTCAGAAAAATACTAAATAATGGCTGAAAGTAATCTACCTGTTAAATTTTGTCTTTCTAATCAGACCAAGTCAGAAATGACAGTGAAGGTAAACAACTGAAACATACCTTTTACTCAGAGAATAAAACAAAACAAACAAAAAAGATCTGACAGCAGTTGCGACCACACCAGCTACGAGCACACAATGCTTTGGCACCAACGCCCATGAAAACAAGCTTTCCTGAAAAAGTAACATACCAGTCCTCCATGCTTAGCCTGGTAATGGACACAACTGGTGTGAACAGAAAGAGACAGAGGAATTTGTCCTAGGGACTACTTCCACAGCACTTTTAATTATGCAAGGAATGGCATTTAACCTCTGGTGACCAGCGGACAGGGGTTCAAAGAGGTCCACCTCAGGATGGAGGGAGCTGCTCAGGATCACGCTCCGGCGCGCAGGGGCAGGGCAAAGGACGGCCAAGCTGGGGTGCAGCTACACCAGAAACGCTCCACTCAGCTGTGAGCTCCCCACGCCGATGAAGGCCAAGTTTCTCTCCGATGATTCAAGGCGTGCGTTGTTCCAGGGGCTGCAGCTGCGGGAGGTCGGGGGATGCTCGGCCACCGGGTCAGCCCGTGAAGGGCCATGCTGTCTGGCTGGGGACCGGCGCCTGGCACAGCTGCGCCGGCTGGAAGAGCAGGCGATGCTTTTTCCATTCACCACCCCCTGAGATATGATTAATATATTCACTCGCAGCTCTTGGACTCTAACTTTTGATCTGGACGTAAGGGTGCGTGTTGTTGTGCCTTAAACTCATCTACTCCCTGTTATTCGGTGTGGCCGCAACAAGGGAGAGGATGTGCAGAGCAGAATGAGCAGATGTTTGCCACCCATCTAGTAAAATATGATGCAGCCATACTGACAGACACGAAAGGAGAAATAACCTTCAGTGAAATGCTGTTGGTTGGACACCAGCACAGCATTACAACACAGAAGTTGCTGGAAGCGACACTCCACATGTCTGAAAAACACACTGAAGAGCAAGGACAGCTTCTGCGGGCTCCCTTCGTGCGTGGGGAGCAAAGCAGAGGGCCGGGCAGGTGTCTTGGTCGACCCACTGTGGCCATTCCCACACCACTTCCCAGCATTTTAGAAACACCCAGAAACATTTTGCACAAGTATCAGCTGCATCCTTTTAGGAAAACGTGGAACCAACACACTTGCAGGGCACAAAGAGGCGCTTGCCTGCTAAGCTCGGGTGCCCCATACGCACCCC